CAAGAAAAGTCTCCAAGTGGCTCAAGATTGCTCAAGAGTTGGACAATCAAGCTATCTCCTAAGGCAGTCAACCTCAAATTAGGGTTTTGTGTTGCATAAAGGTCCTTACGTCCAAATGACCTCAAGTGCTCCCCAATGTCCTAATATGTTCTCAAGTTCATCCATGTCAAATTTCAAGCCTTGCAGAGGAAGTTTGGTCAGTCAATTGCTCAAGAGGTCCAAAAATTGATTGTGCTAGGGCAAAAGTTAACTGTGACCTAAATACAGTCAAACCTCAATATTTTTTGTCAACATTCTCATTTTGAAGTATATTTCATCATTTGATCAAAGGTTGATCATGATTCATCAAGGATTTCTCAAAATTCATCAAGACTCAAAGTTGCTAAATTAGGGTTTTGCAAGAAAAGTCAACTCAACTTTGACCAGGCATACCTTTCTCATACTTTATGAGAAATGATCCATACAAAGATCATTTTGAATAGGATGCAATTTCCTAAAATCCATCTTCATACCCCAAGATCAAGAAATGCACTCACAAAAAGTTACAAATTTGGACATTATAGGTCATTTTTGAAAGTCAACAAAAACACATTTTTTGCCAAAGCTTATAACTTGAGCATGGAATATCAAAATTCGATGAGACCAAAAGGGTTGGTTAGAGGACATCTCAAGCTTTCTAAAAAGTCAAAGAACACCTCCAAAAGTTCAAAATTGAAGAAGTTATGCATTGTTGAAGTTGGGCATTTTTGCAAAATTGCCAAAAGTCAACTATCCCCAAAACTTCAAATTTTATCAAATGGGCCCATTATTTTTCACTTGATTTGGTCTTGTAACACTACACACTTGTCCTAGCTTCAGCCTTGTGTCCATTTATTAATTTTCTATTTTATTTTATTTTTTATTGAATTAATTCATTTTAAATCAATTTAAATCAAATTGTAGTTGTTTAGTTATTGGCTTGCATTTTTGGTAAAACCCAAGTGTGTATGTGTGAATGTCATGACTGATGTCATAACATTCTAGTTTAGTTGTACTGATTCATTAGGTACCTTTGCAGAAAAATATTGTCATTCAGGTACTGATGTTTATAAGTGTGTATCTGAGCATTTTGCAAAATGATCACATTTTCCTAAATCAGTAGACAGGTTTTCTCAGATGTCATAACAGATATTAAGACATCCTGTTCTGAACTAACCGGTTTTCAGTTTGGTTAATTCTGAGTTTTTTTCAGGAAAATAACTCAGTCTTTCCAGAACAGAATCCTGCGTTTTCTTTGGGTTAACCTAGCTCAACCCTAACCTGGTTAATAGAGTCCTGTGACCTAGTCTTAAGGTCAAACGGAATTAACCCTAGGTTTTTGTGGAAACCCTAACTGAAGTTGCAGCTGCTATATATTGAACAGAGCTACTGTTTTGCAAGTGATCCCTTTTTGGTCAGAAGATCATTTGTAAACTGTATAGGTTTAATTATTGTACTCCAAGCAATTATCATTGTGATAAGTGACTTGGAATAGGTTTTTAATTGTAAGGGTTGTGTAGCACTCAAAGCTTTGAAGCAAGAGTGTTTGAATGTTTCTTGACTAAAGCTGTGAAGCAGAGTCAAGTTAGTTGTGTGTATCACTCAAAGCTGTGAAGCAAGAGTGATTGTGTTGCTTGATTAAAAAGCTGTGAAGCTTAATCAAGTGTATGTTTTTGAAGAGTGTATTCATCAATTCATTAGTCAAATTGTTTTATGTATCACTGCTGTGATTGAGGGGGAGTGAGTAGGAACTCAGGTTTAAGTTGTACTTAGATTGAAATTGCATTGGGTAGGTCTTAAGTGAAGGAGATAAACTGGTTGGTTTATTCCTGAATTAACATCTCTTATAGTGGATTTCCTCCCTGGCTTGGTAGCCCCCAGAGTAGGTGTTGTTTCACACTGAACTAGGTAAACAATTGACTGTGTTCTTTACTGTTTTTGTATTTACTGTCTTATAGAAAGTCAGATATGGTGTCATAACATTAAACGTGACATTGAGTATCTGCAGCCAGAATTTCAATTGGTATCAGAGTAGGCACCCTGCCTGTATTACTGGGTGAGATCTAGGGATATCACTTTCTGGCACTATGGACAAAGAAGGAGTTTTTGGAAATAGACCACCCATTCTGGATGGAACTAATTATGACTACTGGAAACCTCGTATGATTGCCTTCTTAAAATCTCTGGACAAAAAGGCTTGGAGAGCTGCTGACAAAGGATGGATCCATCCCACCATAACTGAGAAAGATGGGACAATCAGTCTGAAGCCTGAGGAAGATTGGAGTAAAGAAGAAGATGAGTTAGCCCTGGGAAATTCCAAAGCTTTAAATGCCTTGTTCAATGGAATTGATAGAAACATTTTCAGACTAGTACATCAATATGAACTGGCCAAGGAAGTTTGGGACACTCTCAAAACTACTCATGAGGGCACTTCCAAAGTAAAAATGTCAAGGCTTCAGATGTTGACTACCAAGTTTGAGAATCTAAAAATGATGGAAGATGAAACCATTCATGAGTTTCACATGAACATATTGGAGATTGCCAACACCTCAGGAGCACTGGGAGAAAAGATGTCAGAAGAAAAACTGGTGAGAAAGATTCTCAGATCCTTGCCTAAAAGATTTGCAATGAAGGTAACTGCCATAGAGGAAGCCCAGGACATCGGCAAGTTGAAAGTGGATGAACTTATTGGGTCTCTTCAGACTTTTGAGATGGGGATCACTGATAATGGTGACAAGAAGAACAAGAGCATAGCACTTGTATCCAACACTGATGTTGAAAACAAGGACGATGAAGAAGAAAATATTTTAGAAGCTATAGCCATGCTTGGAAGACAGTTCAACAAGCTCATCAAAAGAATGGATCCAAAGTCAAGGTCTAATGTTCATAACATTCCCTCTGACATTGACAGTTCCAGCAGAAGACCAAGATCAGAAGAAAAGGGAAACCAAGGCAGAGGCATTCAATGCCATGGCTGTGAAGGTTATGGACATATTCGAGCTGAATGTCCTACCTTTCTTAAGAAACAAAAGAAAGGAATGACTGTTACTTGGTCTGACTGTGATTCAGAAAGTAATTCTGAAGAAGAATCTGCCAAACTAGTTACTGCTCTAACTAGTGTTTGCACCTCTGACAGTGACACTAGTGATGAAGAAGTGACATTTGAAGAACTGGCTGATACCTACAAGAAATTGTGTATCAGAAGTGCTGAACTCTGTGTGCAGAATGAGAAACAATCAAAACTCATTATAAAGCTGGAGGCTGAAAAAGGGGCAGATCTTGAAACTATAAGTCACCTAGAAGGGGAAGTTCAATTACTGAACTCACAACTGAACCAAATGACAAAATCTGTCAAGATGTTGACCAATGGATCAGATAAATTGGAAGAGATTCTTCAAGTTGGAAAAAATGTGGGAAACAAATCTGGTCTAGGATTTGTGGAAGCTAAGAAATCTGGTGCAGACAAGAAGATCAGGCATGTTAAACAATTGTCAAAGCAGATGTCTCAACACAACTCTCAACATCAGAAATACATGAAGAAAAAATACCAAAGATGGAGATGTCATCATTGTGGGAGGTATGGACACATAAAGCCCTTCTGCTTCAAATTGCATGGATACCCTAATCAAAACTCAGGTGCTAAACCTAAGCCAAAAAGGGTACCACATACTCCTCATTGGAAGAAAAAGGCTACTGCCCTGATAGCCCATACTTCCCTGAGAGTGTCTGCAAAGGAAGGCTGGTACTTTGACAGTGGATGTTCCAGACACATGACTGGAATCAAAAACCTCCTCAACAATGTTAAGCCTCACACCACCAGTTTTGTGACCTTTGGAGATGGTGCTAAAGGTGAAATCAAAGGAGTTGGTGATTTGGACTGCCCTGGAGTTCCAAGTCTGAATGAAGTACTGCTGGTAAAAGGGCTGACTGCTAATCTCATTAGTATCAGTCAATTATGTGATCTAGGATTCAAGGTCAACTTCTCAAAATCTGAATGTCTAGTAATTAATGAAAAACTAGAAGTTGTAATGAAAGGAATCAGATCCAAAGATAACTGCTACTTGTGGCAGCCTGAGAACACTGATAACTCCACTATGTGTCCAATTACCAAAGAAGAAAAAGAGATGAAACTGTGGCAGCATAAGCTTGGTCATCTTCATCTAAGAAGAATGAAAAGAGCTATCTCTATGGAAGCAGTCAGAAGGACTCCAGAACTACAGGTTGATAATGTCTATGATGTGGCAAATAAACTTGAAGAATGATGTGTTGTCAGAACCATAAGTTATCATGACAAGGATGTTGGAAATAACAAGTCTAATAAATTTTGTTTCCCTGAAGAAATGAGGCGTGAAGTCTCCTCTCCTATAACTCTCCATCAAAATGGAGTGGAAAAAAAGAAAATCATTCAAGAATCAACCAGAACTATGATTCATATCAAAAGAATGCCTTCCCAACTCTGTGCGGAAATAGTTGTTGCTAGGAAAAACTGTTCTCAAAATATATGGTCAAAACAGATGCTCACTGAGTATAATGTCTCACAAGATGTTGTGACATTGTGTTGTGACAATCTGAATACAATCAATATTTCCATGAACCCTATTCAGCATAACAGGACCAAGCACATTGACTTTGTAGAGAAGAAGTCATTTAAACTGGAACATGGTATCTTTAAGCTTCAGCTGACTGATTCTTCTACCAAGGCTCTTGTTGGAAATAAACTTGAAAACTTGAGGGGCAGGTTGGGTATTTACCAACATGGGAAATTATAGCAATTAATTTTGCTTAAAACAAGGGTTGAAGGAGTTAACTTTATTAAGTCTATTTTTAGTGGGTTAATCATATGTTTTCCCAATTCTTTCAAAATCCTTAAGAAGTAGAAAAGACTCTCGTTTGCCTCCTACCTCCCTCGTCTTTGCAACCTGTTCCCTCCTCTCAATCAAAGTTTTTTCTCAAATTGCTACTGGTGCTCAAAGTCAATCAAAATGTCTCAGACATCATCTTCAACCAAGGCGACTTCATCATCCTCATCATCCTCATCATCTGACCAAGACTCTAGAGCAATCACCACATGCATAGAATCTGAAGTTCTTGAGGTCACTCCTCTCAGAGAGATGGAAACTGACCCAGCCAAAGTCAAAAAGCTAAGAACTAGACATGCAGGAAGAGCTCAAGCTGCAGCCTCTGGTAATCCTTCTCATCCTTCTTCTTCTGTACCAAATAGAGAAGGATCAGTTCAAGTTCATCAAGCTATTTCTAGGCTTGTTACTAGTATACTAAGCGGAAACCAACCTGTACCGGGGATTTCTGTCCCTTTAAATCAATCAGGAAGCCCAAATGTGGACGTCTCTGAGAATGTAGATGTCTCTGAGAATGTTGTGACACAAAATGACAACATTCAGAACCCTTCAAAAAAGACTGTTGATCCACCTATCATTGATGTGGATGAGGATTACTCAGATAATGATCTGATTGCCAATGTAAACCCTAGCATAATTAGGAGATTGATGAAAAGAAAGGGTAATCAGAATGATGCAAAATGTGTGTCCAAAGATAAACCTGCTGTTAAGAAATCCAAGGCTGAAGGCATGGCTGAGAAAAGTATTCAGACAAAAGGGAAGAAGGCCCAGGTGCATACTGCTAGACAACCAATTTCAAAGAAGAGAAAAGAACCTGAATATTCTGATTCTGATGAGGAATCAGAATTTGAGATTGATGCTGAAGAAATTCCTATCAGAAGGAAGCTCCCCTCCAGCAAAATTGCTAGAGTGCTTGAAGTCCCAATAGACAACATCTCTTTTCATCCTGACAATGCAAACAGATGGAAGTATGTTTGCTTAAAGAGAATAGCTTTAGAAAGAGAACTCAACAATGATGCCTTGGAGTGCAAAGACATCATGGACCTGATCAAGAATGCTGGACTGATGAAGACAGTGATAAAATTTAACAAGTGTTATGAAAATCTGGTCAAGGAGTTTGTAGTGAACTTGTCTAATGATTATGCTGATGGAAGGTCAGCTGACTTTGAAAGTGTTTTTGTTAGAGGAAGAAGGGTCAAGTTCTCTCCATCAGAAATTAACAAATTTCTTGGAAGAACAAATGAGGATTGTCCTGATCTGGAGGTCACTGACAATGAAGTTTGTCAAACCATCACAGCAAGGCAAGTGAAGTGCTGGCCCTTGAAAGGCAAGCTGAATGCCAGCAAACTCAGCATGAAATTTGCTATCCTGCACAAGATTGGTGCATCCAACTGGGTGCCTACAAATCATAAATCAACTATCTCCACAGGATTGGGGAGATTTATTTATGTTGTGGGAACCAAGACTGCTTTTGACTATGGCAGGTACATCTTTGAACAAACTTTAAAGCATGCTGGTAGTTATGCTGTCAAAGGACCAATCGCCTTTCCCTCCCTCCTTTGTGGAATTATCCTTGCACAATACCCTGATATCCTGGTGGCAAGAGATACAGCCTGCAAAAGAGCTCCTGCCCTTGGGTTGCACTACAAACCGTTTCAGGGATCTCATGCTCCAGATATTGTCATAACATCAGCTGAGACATCGTCTGTGAAGACCCAGTCCAAGACATCTGATGTCATAACTGTTTTAAAAGAGACCTGCAAAGAGCTGGAAGCTAGGAAAAAGACCCTATAAATCCTAATTGCCAGGTTAGAAAAGGAGGAAGCTGAAGGAAACAGAAGGGAAGAAGGTGTAGAAGCTGAAGGTCAACTCAACATTGAAGAAACTAGCTCCTCTGAGTCTGATGACAGTGCTTAAAGGTTGGTTGTTGTTTGGTGGTGTTGCTGGTTGGTGCTGATATCTGGTGGAGTTTGGAAGTGTGTTCAGTTTTTTTTCTCTGCTGCTGCTCTTATTATTTTTGGATAACTGTATAATCTTTATGAACATGTATCTTTGGCCCATTTGTGGCTAAAGAGGGGGAGAATATTTTGGTACTTACTTAATTAGTACCTGCTTAATTAGACATTCTATTTTTCTGCAGTCACTTATTTCTGCTGCTATCTATCTCTGATTGCTTAGGGTCTTTAGCCAAAAATCTGCCAAAGGGGGAGTTTGTAGTTGTTTAGTTATTGGCTTGCATTTTTGGTAAAACCCAAGTGTGTATGTGTGAATGTCATGACTGATGTCATAACATTCTAGTTTAGTTGTACTGATTCATTAGGTACCTTTGCAGAAAAATATTGTCATTCAGGTACTGATGTTTATAAGTGTGTATTTGAGCATTTTGCAAAATGATCACATTTTCCTAAATCAGTAGACAGGTTTTCTCAGATGTCATAACAGATGTTAAGACATCCTGTTCTGAACTAACCGGTTTTCAGTTTGGTTAATTCTGAGTTTTTTTCAGGAAAATAACTCAGTCTTTCCAGAACAGAATCCTGCGTTTTCTTTGGGTTAACCTAGCTCAACCCTAACCTGGTTAATAGAGTCCTGTGACCTAGTCTTAAGGTCAAACGGAATTAACCCTAGGTTTTTGTGGAAACCCTAACTGAAGTTGCAGCTGCTATATATTCAACAGAGCTACTGTTTTGCAAGTGATCCCTTTTTGGTCAGAAGATCATTTGTAAATTGTATAGGTTTAATTATTGTACTCCAAGCAATTATCATTGTGATAAGTGACTTGGAATAGGTTTTTAATTGTAAGGGTTGTGTAGCACTCAAAGCTTTGAAGCAAGAGTGTTTGAATGTTTCTTGACTAAAGCTGTGAAGCAGAGGCAAGTTAGTTGTGTGTATCACTCAAAGCTGTGAAGCAAGAGTGATTGTGTTGCTTGATTAAAAAGCTGTGAAGCTTAATCAAGTGTATGTTTTTGAAGAGTGTCTTCATCAATTCATTAGTCAAATTGTTTTATGTATCACTGCTGTGATTGGGGGGGAGTGAGTAGGAACTCAAGTTTAAGTTGTACTTAGATTGAAATTGCATTGGGTAGGTCTTAAGTGAAGGAGATAAATTGGTTGGTTTATTCCTGAATTAACATATCTTATAGTGAATTTCCTCCCTGGCTTGGTAGCCCCCAGAGTAGGTGTTGTTGCACACTGAACTGGGTAAACACTTGACTGTGTTCTTTACTATTTTTGTATTTACTGTCTTATAGAAAGTCAGATACGGTGTCATAACATTAAACGTGACATTGAGTATCTGCAGCCAGAATTTCACAAATAAAATCCAAATATTGATCACTTAGGATCTTTTTGATTGTTATAGGTCTTAATTGTCATCATGGACATGATCAAATCCGTATCAAGCCATATCATGAACAAAATATTGGATTTTGGACAAAGTTAGAAGGTTTTCCATGGTGAATCAAACCATATCTCCGAACATCAATGCACAAGGATTCAGCCCAAAAAAGTTAACCTAATTCATTCCATATTACATATACAATGCAAAGACACGAATTAGAGAAGTTGGAGGCTGCAAAATCACAAGAAAAAAACTTGAGAAAACTTGAAAAAGCTTGAAACTGAAATCCTTCTTAGAGGCCAATTCAGAACCAAAACTCAACGTGAATCAATTGCTGGACATCCACTGAGTCAGTAGCAATCAAAAGCAAGCTCCCAGACCCTCTCAATCGCGCTGTAAGTCTCTCAAAACCTCGCCCTGTATTTGAAATCGCAACTCCATATTTCTGCATCTTTTGAACAAATCTTTGGTATATTCATGCTTATCGTTCAATTTCTCAGCTTGCTGCATTATTTAATTGCGTTTACACAGCCTGTAACCCCCTAGCCGAATCTAGGGTTCTTGGTTCTTGTTTTTGGGCGTTTTATTTTCAGGAAAAATCAGGGCAATTGATGGACATATACATGTTCAGGAGGGAGAAACGAGCATGACTATGGTCTTGGATTGAGTTTTCATGGCTTGGAATTGGTTTTGGGTATGACCTAGGGATTCAGCTGCGGATTTGAATCCGTAGGAAATATTACAGGGATGAACAAGGAAGACGATGACGCGTCTTCCCCTGGTTGGCCGGTTTAAAACTTCACGCGTGTTTTTTTATATTGCTGGCATATTGTTGTTGTTTCACATATAATATTCTTTATCTATTACACTAACAATTAAAAGGCGTTGGTTGAGTGGCAAGGGCGTGTGCTTGGTGACTAACAGGACCTGGGTTCGAATCCCAGGTCCCCCCATATTGCTTTGCTATTTTTCTTCAGGTATTCCAGCGTATTTCAACAATTGTGGCCTATCATACACCCTCATGCAATCAGTGGACAGATGGCCTCCAGGCCAAATCTGATGATCCGGATGGGATACCCACCATGGTGCCTAGTCAAAGTTCATGCGCTGGATCAGGAAAGTCAACACGGGGCCAACTCTAATGGGCTTTAATTTTGCTAATCAGACTCCTTTTCCAGGCCCACACCCCCCTTGGTTATTTCTATTTATTTCTTTCTTTTTATTTTATTTACTTATTTGATTAATTATTTTTACAATTTCACTAACCAATTAAAAACTTTTTTTCATAAAATAAAAAAACCAAAAATATTTTCATTGTTAAAATTAAATTCAGTATTTTATTTTTGTAAATAAATATTAATTGAATTAATTTAGTTTAATTAGGAAATAACTTTAATATTTTTGCAATAATTAAAATTAATTTAGACGATTAGGTTTTTATTAACTTTGATCAAATTTATTTTTATTTCCTTAAATATCAAAATCCAAAAATATTATTTTCATTAATTAATTAATTTTTTTATTAATTTAACGCTTAACCTAATTTAATTTCTTTTTAATTCAAAAAATAACAAAAAAAATGCTTTCTTTCAAAAAAGGGTCAAAACCCTAGAATGCGCCCGATTTAATTTCTCGCATGCGATCCATTTATCATATTGATGTAATTGTTTCCCGGAATGTAATAGTTTAATAGGACTTTATTTTACCGCTTTATTCATTTTTCGCATTTTAATTTCAAGGGTTGTTTTTGGCGATGTAAATACCCGACGCCTTGTAATAGTTAGATTTAATTTCCATAATTTAATTTCCGCAACTTATAAACTGTTAGATGTTTGATAATAGGGAATGCATGATAAGATCAAATCTTTAACCTAAAATCAACATAGATAACCATTGACATGTACAAAGATAAATAGCTGAAAAACAACACACTCGCACATGCGCACTCTTAGGGTACACCTCGCTTGGTTGCCTTCGAACGTGGTCATTGAGTATAAGAAGTTTTAGAGGTCGCCCTCTTGTCCAAAGATCATAATAGATTAATTAGGTTTATATTATTGCAATCCCCATTCATAAATTGTATATCCCCCTCCCACAAATGTTATAATAGAGTAGTAACTTTAAATTTCGCAATTTATCGGTTTTAGATAACATGCTAGTAATTAGGGTTTGTATGGCAAGATAAAAACAATCGAATAGAAAACCCTAATCAAAGACAAAAGCAAGCATGAAAATGACACACTTGCACACAAGCACCCCTAGGGTTATCCCACTTGGTTGCCTTACAAAAATGGCCATATTACGCATGTAAGGTATCTTAGCAAAAACAAACAAATACAAGATCATAGTCCCTCGATAACGCTATTCAAAGTTTCCTTATAAAATGATCTTAGTCCCTCAAACAGAATGCTAAGTGTTGTACCCCAAAATTTTCCCTCCCATATTTCTCAAAACATTGCAAGGAAAATCTCCAAGTGGCTCAAGATTACTCAAGAGTTGGACAGTCAAGCTATCTCCTAAGGCAGTCAAACTCAAATTAGGGTTTTGTGTTGCATCAAGGTCCTTGCATCCAAATGACCTCAAGTGCTCCCCAATGTCCTAATATTTTCTCAAGATCATCCATCTCAAATTTCAAGCCTTGCAGAGGAAGTTTGCTCAGCCAATTGCTCAAAGGGTCCAAAAGTCGATTGTGTTAGGGCAAAAGTCAACTGTGGCCCAAATACAATCAAACTTCAAGATTTTTTGTCAACATTCTCATTTTGAAGGATATTTCATCATTTTATCAAGGGTTGATCATGATTCATCAAAGATTGCTCAAAATTCATCAAGACTCAAAAGTTGCTAAATTAGGGTTTTGTAGAAAAAGTCAACTCAACTTTGACTAAGCATAACTTTCTCATACTTTATGAGAAATGACCCATCAAAAGCTCATTTTTAAGAGGATGCAATTTCCTACAATCCATCTTCACACCCCAAGATCAGAAAATTCATTCACAAAAAGTTACAAATTTGGACATTATAGGTCATTTTTGAAAGTCAACAAAAACACATTTCTTGCTAAAGCTTATAAATTGCGCATGGGATGTCAAAATGAGATGAGACCAAAAGGGTTGGTTATAGGACATCTCAAGCTTTCTAAAAAGTCCAAGAACACTTCCAAAAGTTCAAAATTGAAGAAGTTATGCATTGTTGAAGTTGGGCATTTTTACAAAATTGCCAAAAGTCAACTATCCCCAAAACTTCAAATTTTGTCAAATGGGCCCATTCTTTTCCACTTGATTTGATCTTGTCACACTACACACGTGTCCTAGATTCAGCCTTGTGTCCATTTATCAATTTTATTATTTTATTTTATTTTTTATTGAATTATTTCATTTTAAATCAATTTAAATCAAATAAAATCACAAAACTTGATTACATGAGATCTTTTTCTATTTTCAGGACCTAATCACCA